CAAATCGTTTGTACAGAAAGAACTTAAGCAGCATGTATAACTGTAACATTTAACACTATTTATGTAATAAATTCTTACCAAAATGATGCTCCAAACCGTTATCACTGCTAAGAATTATATAATTGCTATTGCATTCGTTTTTTTAAAAAAAACAGTGATATGAAATGACACCGGATTTTGAATGTTTTGAATCGTGACTTACTTACAGTTCGGTCACTGCCACGATCTGAAACCCAGTCGATCATAGCACTTTTTCGAGATGAAGAATTTGGAGCCGGATTGAGTTGTACATTATGGTTAGCTGCATTGTCCACTACTAATACCGAATTTGGTGGATTGTTTGGAATTAACTTCGTTTTAAACCATCTTTCATAGTTATCAAAATTGTGAAAATTACAGGCCTAATTGTAAATGGGCCAGTGTTATTGAAATGGAATTCAGCACACGAAGTGAACTCGGTCACAGCTCGCTCGTAACTGAGCTCCGCATACACCCCACCCACTGTTCGAGCTGCACATCTCAAGGCCATAGCTCGTGTCCCACCAAACGTCTAATAACAAGTCAGTCCTCCGCCCCGTACATGACTTTTACTGCCTTGAGAGTCTCGAAACATACGTAACACAAAGACGTATTTTAAAAAAATATTCTAGCCATTCTGTGTTTTAAAGTTTTCATGTTGCATCCTCGCGTATCATTTTTAACAGCAGTATTTTTAGTTTCATTACACGCATTTAATGTTGATATTTCCACAGTCTAAGCTGACGATCACATTTTGACGAAGGTACCAAAGAATGGCTTGCTTTCTGTTCCCATTTGCCCCAAAGCAAAAAGAATATCGACACTCAGAAATTACTAAATCCCAATTTATTGTATTATTACAATGGAGTTATCACCAAACATGAGTTTGTGAACAGTTTAGAAGTTTCGATGTATCTCGGCTGGAAGTCATCAACAGGTCCTGGAGAGATATTTCTGAACCACAGCACAAACAATAAAATTACTTACTTTAAACTCTGTGTTTAACAAATTACATTTTTAAGTACATTTAAATAAATAACACTGCATGAAGAACATCGTATGTAGAGTAACACATATGCATTGAACTCTTAACTTAACACTATAATGATATAAATTTGTAATGACGCCCATATGATGTATTTTCAAAATTCCAGCTGTCACCTCACTGCACTATCGTATTAATTTTTTTAATAAATTTTGTTCAAGATAATCTACATTAAACGGAACATCAGAAACATTAAACTGTTCATAACCAATCAGTGGGCAGTGGTTTCTTAATGTTATCGTATTATTAACTTAATTTCCCTTGGATAGGGTTTTGGAACTGCTATTTGATTCTCAAAATAAACAAGATAAGTTTCGTGGACATGTTCACGGACGATCCAGAGGGACATTTACTTAAACCGATGGTTTCACCTGTACTGGGACCATAATTTCAACAGGGACGTAAACCAGATATGGCACATTGACTTGTACTCGTACATACACAGGGACTTCAACGGGATAAGGTTCAGGGACAGGAACCTTTACTTCAACAGGGACTGGTATTTCGACTGGGATATGTTTAATAATAGGGTCATCTTTCTCTACAATTCGTGGATTGGCAGTTATTATGTATGGTTGTGAAATATGGTATTTTACTTTAAAGTCAGAACTCCAGTTATATAAGTCAAGTGTTCAGGAAAACATTACGACGTAAGAAGAATGAAGGAGGGGAACAATTTAGTATTCCAACTAAGATGCGTGGCGGTCAAAACAATTCCCCTCTCCTCCCTATCCTTTAGAAACACGTGGTAGCAATGTTACTGTCTGTCCTGCTAACATCTGCTGCTATCATTGTGGTACTTTCTTTATTAATGTAATGCTCTATGCCTACTACATTAAAATATAATGCAACTTTATATTATACACACCAGTCACCAGGCCTCGCGAACAAATAAACTCTTACTTGATAACTGTGGTCTCACAAAAATCACTGTTACAAGTCACAGAACTCACGAAAGAATGTTTTCCTCATGGGTAGTCCGTCAACTGGCTGTTCAACACGCTGTTCCAATAGGTATGCACCCACCTCAAATCGTTTGTACAGAAAGAACTTAAGCAGCATGTATAACTGTAACATTTAACACTATTTATGTAATAAATTCTTACCAAAATGATGCTCCAAACCGTTATCACTGCTAAGAATTATATAATTGCTATTGCATTCGTTTTTTTAAAAAAAACAGTGATATGAAATGACACCGGATTTTGAATGTTTTGAATCGTGACTTACTTACAGTTCGGTCACTGCCACGATCTGAAACCCAGTCGATCATAGCACTTTTTCGAGATGAAGAATTTGGAGCCGGATTGAGTTGTACATTATGGTTAGCTGCATTGTCCACTACTAATACCGAATTTGGTGGATTGTTTGGAATTAACTTCGTTTTAAACCATCTTTCATAGTTATCAAAATTGTGAAAATTACAGGCCTAATTGTAAATGGGCCAGTGTTATTGAAATGGAATTCAGCACACGAAGTGAACTCGGTCACAGCTCGCTCGTAACTGAGCTCCGCATACACCCCACCCACTGTTCGAGCTGCACATCTCAAGGCCATAGCTCGTGTCCCACCAAACGTCTAATAACAAGTCAGTCCTCCGCCCCGTACATGACTTTTACTGCCTTGAGAGTCTCGAAACATACGTAACACAAAGACGTATTTTAAAAAAATATTCTAGCCATTCTGTGTTTTAAAGTTTTCATGTTGCATCCTCGCGTATCATTTTTAACAGCAGTATTTTTAGTTTCATTACACGCATTTAATGTTGATATTTCCACAGTCTAAGCTGACGATCACATTTTGACGAAGGTACCAAAGAATGGCTTGCTTTCTGTTCCCATTTGCCCCAAAGCAAAAAGAATATCGACACTCAGAAATTACTAAATCCCAATTTATTGTATTATTACAATGGAGTTATCACCAAACATGAGTTTGTGAACAGTTTAGAAGTTTCGATGTATCTCGGCTGGAAGTCATCAACAGGTCCTGGAGAGATATTTCTGAACCACAGCACAAACAATAAAATTACTTACTTTAAACTCTGTGTTTAACAAATTACATTTTTAAGTACATTTAAATAAATAACACTGCATGAAGAACATCGTATGTAGAGTAACACATATGCATTGAACTCTTAACTTAACACTATAATGATATAAATTTGTAATGACGCCCATATGATGTATTTTCAAAATTCCAGCTGTCACCTCACTGCACTATCGTATTAATTTTTTTAATAAATTTTGTTCAAGATAATCCACATTAAACGGAACATCAGAAACATTAAACTGTTCATAACCAATCAGTGGGCAGTGGTTTCTTAATGTTATCGTATTATTAACTTAATTTCCCTTGGATAGGGTTTTGGAACTGCTATTTGATTCTCAAAATAAACAAGATAAGTTTCGTGGACATGTTCACGGACGATCCAGAGGGACATTTACTTAAACCGATGGTTTCACCTGTACTGGGACCATAATTTCAACAGGGACGTAAACCAGATATGGCACATTGACTTGTACTGGTACATACACAGGGACTTCAACGGGATAAGGTTCAGGGACAGGAACCTTTACTTCAACAGGGACTGGTATTTCGACTGGGATATGTTTAATAATAGGGTCATCTTTCTCTACAATTCGTGGATAGGTTTGTTCAACAGGAACTTCGAATTGAAATGAATAAGATTGGAGGCCATGAACTGGTATTTTATCAGGGTAAGATTGTGGTTTAGAGACGGAAACTTCTACAGGATATGGGTGGTCAACGGGTGCCGGAATTTCAACTGGGTACCGTCTATCCGCCAGAATTTGAGCTTCCACGGGGTGGACAGGCACGGAAACTTCTTTTTCTGAGGTAGAGTGATGACGTGCTGGTACTTCGACGAGGTACTGTTCGGAAATTTTCTCCTCAGCAGGTACCATGACTGCAACTTTTGTAAATGTGCGTGCTTCATGGTGATTATATCCATCCATTTTATTAGCTTCGTATTTGTGTCTGTTCTTATGGACATGACCTGGTACATTTTTATGTTTGAATATTGGTCTTCTCTTCGAATTACTCTCGGATAGCTGTTGCAATTTTCCTTTTATCTTCGGAGATCCAATGGCAGAATAAATCACGACAAGGTAGACGATGCAGATCCAACTCTGTAGAAATTCAACAAGTTTAAGCATGATTTATTTTACGTTAATGATTTCAGGCATTGTTATCAACTTCACACATGAATGAAATACAAATGTCATTCTAAAATCGTCTAAAATGACGTTGATGTTGAAGACTTTATCAGATGCGGCTGAAAACATGAAATACAAAATAGAATTTAGACGGAGGAGACAGAAGTTATGCTTTTGGCTGACCACGGTCTTATAACTACTCTGCGTAAGTGCTTTTAACAACCGCGTTTACTTTGTTTAATAGGGTATGTCAACGCTGCAGAATATCGTCCACAAAGCTTCAACTTATGTTCAAGCTGGACATGCCTAGAAAGGTATAAATATTTTTTTGGCCAAACCTGGACCGATTACAAATCTCCACGCAGCAGAATATTTCTTCAAAAGTTATTTGTCTGAAGATGGCTGTCTTCTGGATTGTTGCGCCGT